ACGTTTTTAATATAATACTTCAACATTTTGTCTTGCAATTTTCTAACATTACGACGTAAGATATGAAACTATGACTAAGTATATTCACAAACCGGTACGAGAAGAACATTATTTTTTATTCCTATTGTGTGTTCCTTTTTATTTTATATATATTTTTTATTTCCAATTTGCAAAGGTAAAACCACCCATAGATTATTCAAAATCGATCGATTTCAATGACATTTCGTAAAGATTTTTTTTTTTTAAATAGAATGATACGCGCGATAAGGGATAACGAGCTGTTTTATTCGATATCGATTTTTACGGGGGTGGGAATACAAGGGATGAAGGGGAAAGAGAAAAAATATTAAAAAAAAAAAAAAAAAAATGAAAGTAGGAATGCGAAAAATTGTCTCGTTTATAGTGATACAGTAGGTAATTCCGTGTTTTCAAGCGTAATCCTGGTAAGCTATAAAGTTTAGAGATAGAAAAAAGAAAAAAAAAAAAAGAGAAATATAATAGTTTTTTAAAGGGATAATATACGCGAAAAGAAATGCACGCAAAAAATTTCATTTCTTTCCATTAAAAATCCTTCTTTTAATTTATTTTTTTCCTTTATCGTATCCGTAAACAAAAAATTTAATTAATATATTAATATAATATATCGGTATAAATAATTCTATTAAATATTATATATTAATCCCACACAACATACATTTAAATATAATATTATATAATTATACGTAAAAAAAGAAATATGTGATAAAATGTGCGCGTGTGATTTTGTAATTAAATGAGAGGGATTCAGTAGAGTTGGTATAATTTTTCTTTTTTTTTTTTTTCTCTTTTTTTTTGGTGGTAACTGCGCAATACTCAGGGGATATTAAAAATTATGTCATTTATTTTTTATAACCAATACACCCTTAATTCATGCTCATGCGATGTCTACGCATTTATTATTCGCGTGGAAGCGTTTCCTTTTTGTTTTTTCCTTTCTTTTTTTCTTTCTTTCTTTCCCTACTTTATTACAAAATCTTATTTAAAGTCACGTAATTAATTTTCGACTTTTTCTTTTCTTTCTTTTTTTATTATCTCTCTCTCCCTTTCTGTCGTTCGTTAAATACAAAATTAGCTTCCCTCTTTCTTAAGTAGATAATAATTTGATCACACTTTGAGAAAAAAACCAAATGATATTAATCTTATTCGAAATACTTTAATAGATATCGAGACAAATCTAATTTCATGTTTAAAAAATCAATTAAATCGTAAATGAAAGAAGCTTTTCTCAATACTTAAACGTATATGCAAATCTTAGCATGAGAGAGAGAGAGAGAGAGTGAGAATTAAACATAGAGGTAATGTTGATTTAACTCTTCGTTAATTCCGTTTGTTTAGTTTGAAACTTGAATAGGGATGGTACAGGATCGGTGATAAAGAGAAAAAGGGGGAAGGGGGGAGTGGGCAGGAGACTGGGTCGGGGCCAAGGGAGAGAATTAATACTTCGAAAGGATCAAAGGAAAAGGGAAATAACTATAAGAAGAAATAAAGGTAATTGATGTTCTCGTTTAAAATGTCCTTTTATCGTATCGGAATAAAGTCACCGGAAGTTAAAGGGATTCGTTAAATTTCTTCTCGTTAACTAAATAATCTTAAGATATCTTATTAGATATAGATACTTTATATAGTTACGTCAAATGAAAAGACTAAAGGTATATATAAACGAGGAAGTAATTATAATATTTCTTGTATTTGACAAATAAATGTGCCCCAGTTATTACGACAGTGAATGGATACAAAAAAATTGAAATAATTAATTTTATGAAAGAAAAAAGAAAAACAAAAAAGAAGGATTTAATTGTCAGAATATTTGTTCGAACGATTTTGTATTATTTTTAGACTTTTATTGTATTAATAATAGAAAGGGAAAATATTTATTGGGGGAAAAAAAATGATTGCAATGTTAGCGTTAAAAAAAAAATATTTTGATTCTACCGATGTGTATTTATATATTCTTTTTTATTTATTTATTTATTTATTTATTTAATCGGATAAACTTGTTGATAACGATACACGTGTAAACAAGTATTTATATTAAAATATATGCCCGAGTAGTTTGCGTTGGTTTTAAAAGAGACAACGTCGTTTATTCAATTTCTATCGTAAAATTCGCGATACACCTCGGTAATAATGAAATACGTATGGGGACGATAAATTTATTTAAAATTTTAAACGTATCAACGTTAAAAGCTATAAACGTTCGACGTACGTCAACGTTCACGTTGAAGACTATGGAAGGGAAATTTTTTATTTTTTTTTTTTTTTATTTTGAAAAAGGGAAAATTTTGATTGAACAAAATCAGCTTTCGACCGCTTCGAATACAAATATCTATGAATAATAAATATCAATTAGGTAGATACCTTCGTATATATATATATATGGACACACATTTGCATTTTTCATTTTATGAAATCTCGAGAGTAGTATATCGAGTTTCGTACGAAAATCTAGTTGCAATAATGAAAACTCGACTAACTCGGGAAAACTCCTGACTAAATAAATATACGCGTTATAATCATCCTTGAAAGTTTATCCTATTAAATAAAAATAAAAAAAAAAAAAAAAAGAAAGAGAAAAAAAGACAAATTTAAAAAAGTATATAATACATCGGTGGAAGAATCAAATATTTGAACTTTTAATTGTTTGTATAAATTAAATTGCAGTTTATGCAATATACACGTAATAATGAGATCTGTCTGTGTGTATGTGTGATTGTTGAGTAAAGCTCGACACTGTAAAAAATGTGTTAAAATTGTAATAGTTCTTTTGTCGAATTGAATAGTACTTTTAAGAGTTCGTCTATAATTAATTTACATTAACGGTAAACGGATTATTAAATGCATGTTAATACTAAGTGCATCGGCAAGATTTAATCGGATAAGTTCTCTAATTTCCTACAAGGAAGGACGACCAACGTAAGCAGCAATAATGTCATAAGTAGTAACGATCACATATACATACAAACATAGATATATATATGTATATATATAAATATGCATATATACATACGTAAATGAGTATTTATATACATACATACGAATGTGTTTAAGTAAACTTTATTGCACTATTACGTGGGAAATATACCGTAGTCTTTCAACGGATATAGTTGATCGTAAATTCAAATATGAGGGGTAGTAAAATCATTCCTCACGTTTAAGACACACCTAAAACGCATCGTATATGTCAATTTGCTCACATTTTCGACAGATCGTAATTTTGTTTGAAAAAAAAAAAATAAAAGAAAATTGCACGAATTAATCATAGAACCTTTCAATTAAATCTAATCAAACGCGTGTTTTGTTGTTAATTATTTTTTAATTTTATTAATATTCAATCGAACGTTTTGTAATATGTTTTTTTTTTTTTCTATATTTTATATATTTTTAATATTATATTAATATTTCGTTTTTTGTTATTTCAATTTCTTATTCTTATTTTTTTTTTTTTTTTTTAAAAGAACATACTTAAACGTATGCACTAGGTTTAACGACATTCGTATATCTTCTTCACTTGACTGACTACAGAGGTACCTCGACTACTGGCAATCCACTTTATTTTGCGTGTTCGATCAATGACGCTTTGACTACTCGTACGGAAGATTTACTTCGGTCAGAGAACGATTGTTAACAGAATCTGGTGTGGCAAGTAACAAATATAAAAGAATTATAATATTTGATAAACTTTTCTTTACAAACAACTAAACCCGAGATAAATAACACTCGGTTGTCTTACGATTTTATCACATTTTTGAAGCTCATGATTATTTGAAAAGATCACGATGCAGGTTTACTTACACCTGCTACAAGATACAATGTAAAAAAAATACCGACGATCACGACAAAATTAATAAAAATATATTATTTTTCATGATATTATAATAACTCTTTTGAAATCAATTATAAAATACATATACATATATGGTTTAAACATTTTTATATATCATTAAAAAACAAAGAAAATATTTAGATGACCTCTTTTAGTTGCTGGTATACCCTATATATCAAAGCATTTCGTATAACTCATATATTTCGTTACATATACATATATTCATTTAATAATGCAGTTCTTTTTTAAAGAGACACAGAAAGCTATTTCGAAATGTCGCTGGCAGATACGTTTATTAATCATGAGCTGTACGTATACCTTCGAGCGAAATACTAGCATATGTATTACATACGTAGGATATATGCACATACACACACACGCACGCATACGCGCGCATATACGCATATATGCACATCCCTTCGTAAAATGGTCGAGTCCATTTCTACGATTCAATTGACCACATTATTTCTCTATATTTTACGATTAAAAGTAAGAAAAAAAAGAGAGAGAGAGAGAGAGAAAAAATACAGTTCCCACGTGAATTAAATTTTTAATCTTTCAACGAATATATAATTCAATTTTTACGTTTGTGCGAAGTCTTTTGCTCGAACGACCCATATAGAGAAGTCACTAGTAACGAAAGAATTAATTGCAGTTTTGTGAAATATATATTTTTTATTGAAATTAACTAACATTATTTCGTTGCAAGGAAATTTTCAAAAAAAATTATTAATTTAATGCAAGAGTATTTAAATTATTTTTTCTTTTATTTTTATTATTTTGTTCTCTTAGCTTTACTATTATTTTTCTATTAGACTTTTGTAGAGTAATTTCAGAACTGCAATGAGTAAGGATGCTGTACAGGTCAGGAATCGATAACAGCATTAAATCCTTGTATTCTTAGAAGATATAGAATATAATATATGAAAGAATCATATGAGAATAAAATATTGAAATAACAATTTGATATTGTAACAGTTATATCCTATAGTTGGTAATTGGTCGTGATAGATCGATAAATTATATGAAAATAAATGCAATTTTTCTCACATTTTGATATCCAATCGCTATTAGAAATAATATCGCTATTATAATACTAGAAATAATGTCATAAAATAACAAAAACAATAGAATAAAGTCTTGTAGTAAGTATTTATTTAATATAAGATTCGAATCATTCTAATATATAGATGTAATAAAATGTACAATCTATTTTATAATTAATTAGAACTTAAGTTAAATACTATGATTCCGATAATATATCTTCGAGCGTTTTATCGTCGTGTAAGGGTGAATGTCCTAATGTAGGATCGCTTTCCAAAAACTCTCGGAGTTCAGATTCCAAATCGGGAACTCCCGATGGTTCCGTCGTGCTCAGCAAAGGAGGGGACGTTTGATTGTGCGTGACACCGATTTGTATTTGATTTGGATTGACAATACTGATCGTTGGATTTTGTTGACTGTTCGGACTCAGTAAATTTGTATTTGGAATAGGCGATGGTGCTGGTAAAAGATTTGTGGGTACTTGATTGCCATTGGTTGGTTGTAACAATGTATTTTCCGCAACTATTGCTGGATTATGTGTAATTGGTTCAACTTCCATCGGTTCAGCTCCGCCAAGTGGTGCTATGCCCATAGCTCGACGTAATCCATCAACTGGTGCAATAGCTGAGGGTGGAAGTTTCTTTGCTATCTCGGTAAGATTATCCGTAATCTTACCGGCAAGGGCAACTTCACTTTCCGAGGCCTTAGGAACATTCGATAAATGAGCAGGTGGAGGCGCCGAGAGACGATCGTGTTGTACTTGTTTCAAACGACCCAACATCTGCGAAGTATCATCTAAACGACTTTGTAAAGCTTCACGATCCTCGCTGAACTTTAACTCGTCTTCTAAAATATTCAGAAATAGGACACATGTAAATATATATACATTTATATATATAGTGTGTGTGTGTGGAAGTAAAACTAGAAAACTAAGTTTAATATATATATATATGTTATTATATAAAATGTCAGTAATTAAGATAGTGAATAAAGTTAAAAAATGGATATAAATTATTTTATAATTGCAGGCAGATAAGATAAGATAAGATAATTACCTAATTTTTCCAGAAAGTTCATATCAATGCCCAGTTCAGATAATGTTTTCAATTGATCAATATCTACTCGAACTTTCTCCAATGATGGAATGTTTTTGTTTAAATCTTGCATAGGTTTTTCTAACAAATGCTTGATCTTCTCCTCTTCCTCTTTAATTCTCCTCTTTTCTTCGAGTAACTTTTTCGTTTTCCTATGATCACCGTTGGTTAGAATATCTAATAAATCGTCGACCATAGTTAAAGTGTAATCACAGTCTTTAGCAAAATCAATAATAGATTCTGCATACTGAACAGCAGTTTCATCTCCGTACGTTTGATAGACGAGATCAGTTTCTTCCTTAGTAAGATTGGCAAACGTGGAATCATAACTTGGCGCGTAAGACCCGAATGGTCCGTAGTACAACGATTTAACTGGTTTTGACATATTTCTTCTGTCTTCTCTAAAACCAGCTAAAGCGCCAGTACCGTGATTTAATTTTCCTATAAGTTGTCCTAATGATACGGGTCTTTGATTAGTTCCAGGTATAACGCCATCTCCAGGAACTATTATTTGCAAACTCGTAGTCCCATCTTTCTTTTGTCTTAAAAATCCCATTTTGGTGTTGAGACGTTTTAAACTTAATTTATCCGAAGCAGCTTTAGCCGCCCCACGTGCTTGCTTCAAAATTTCTTCCGGAGTTAGATCATCCGGAATAGCTTCGAATTTACCTAAACTCGCTAATCTCATTTTTCTTTGATTTTCCTTTCGGAGTTCTTCTGCTTCTTCGTTTCTTTCCTCCTGTTCTCTTTCCCTTTCGATTTGTTCCTCGGTAACAAGAACATCGGGATTATTAGGATCTTCAACTCCTAATTCAAATCCAAGTTCTTCCTTGGAAATATCATGCATGTAAGTTAATACCGGTCTTAATTGTCTCAGTTTCTCAGGGGTGACCATCTTTAATCCTACGTGTAATAATTTCTTGGCAGCCTTATAATAAATAGTATCTGGATGATTATAAGTAGTTGCGTTGTTACACATAAGTTTAAAATCGTCTATAAATTCATTTAAATTCTGATAATTATTATCATCTATCTTTTGTTTAATAGTACTAAAATCCATCGGATTTGTTATTATTTGAGAATAACCAGGCGCTATACTGTCTGTCACTGGCCATGCGAAGAATTGCTGAGGATCACGTTTTTCCATTGACCTTAACAAATGTTCCAATAATCTCTGGAGAGGCGTGCGTTCGGCTATTTTTCGCAGAACGCAAGTCCTAGGCTCTCGATGCGGAGAGAGTGAACTAATTTGATTAGCAACATTGATTCTAGGTTCATTGCTCGAAAGAGGTCTAGGAGATAACAATTGTTGATTTGGAATCTTTTTAGGTACTTCGACGAAACTTTCATCAGCATCACCTACAGATTCTTGACTGGATTCTTCTCTCTTTCTCTTTCTATCTTTGTGATGATGTTTGTGTCGTTTATCCTTTTTCTTCTTTTTCTTTTTAATTTTCTTGTGACCCATGTACCTATCATATTCTGAGTCCCCTTGCGTAACCGAGTAATTCATACCTAGTTGCTGTTGGTAGTGCTGAGATAACATTGTTCCTTGGCTTGGAAATTCGTTGGCGTATTCCGGAGTCCCGCTGCTTCCTCCTACCTTCAAAATTAATTTTAAAGTAGGCGGTTTGTCCGTTGTTGTATATAGTCCTTCTGTTGACAAAATAGATAACCAGTAAATAAAATGCAAACAATAAGATTTTCAGGCATCCGATAAGCTCTAACGTAAGCTAAATTGACATGAAATATATCTAATGCATGCACAAATGGTGTTTTTTTGCAGAAAATCAAAGTGCAGGATAGTAATAGCATAACTTTAGTAGCATAAATGCTTTCTATATGTCCCGATGTATAGTTTCAATGGGAACTTAGAATAAAGTGCGATTGAAAAAATTAATAAACTTCTACAAGGGGTATTAAAAAAAGGATCAAGGGTTTTCATTCTAATAATTATATACAGAGATGGTTTTATGACAGGATAGTGACCTTGTTTTCACATTAAACAAACTGGAAGCGAGATGGAAGTAGTAGCTCAATTTGAACTAATAAATAAATCTTAATAGAAATACATATATATATATATATATACATATATATATGTAATAAAATAATTTTCATTGTAACATCGACTGCCCTATATTGTAGGAACAGTAAGAAAGAAAATAATTATTAAAATTGAAAATACCTCTTAAAGGGCTAAAGCAAAGCACATACGGTCTTCGATGCCGTAATACATAACAGCCAGGGAACTATGCAGTTGAAGCGCAACAGGTTTGCATTTTCTTTTTTTCTTATCGTGTAGCAGTATTTTGTATTAGTCATAAATTAAGGAGAAATCACAATATTTAATTGATATGGATCTTGTTGCGCTTCAACTGGTTTTAAAAGACAAAAATGGAAATAGGTTTATGGATATTTAAATAACTTTGGAGCACAGCTAGCTTCTGTCGTGCAACCAGTCCGTGTCTGTAGTTACACGTCACTTACTTCCACGTCGAGCCTGTCGTTGTGGAACCTTCGTTTATACTTTTGAATCCACCTCACTTCTACTCCAACCTCACTCTCTCAGTTTGTCCTTGGTGAAAACGCAGTCAAAATTCCTGTGCATCATTTTAACTATGAGTACGAGAAGGATTCCAATGAAAATAATAAGAAAAGCGATTTGGCGTAGCTTAAGAAGTAACTACAATTCTATCCTTCGAAACAAAAATGCATCTCTTAAATCTAATGCGTGTCCCATTAAAGCCACACCATCATCCACAGTTCAATGTTTTCATTCGAATCCTCAGCTATGCACTTAAGATAGAAATAAATAATTCTATCCTTATAATACAGCATCTTAAAGAAATATTGTAAAAGTAATATAAGAAGACAGATACACCAATATAAACAATGGACATATAATGAAAGATCACGAATGCGAACAAAGTGCTTGAGACGGTGTGCGAATTGTATTTATTAACTGTACAAAATAAGATTATCTTTTTCATGTATTATATACAACATGACTCACTTGATTTGATTACCTTGAAAAATTTATAAATTAATATTTATAGAGGTTGCATAATATTGAGAAGGCATAATGCGGTTGACAGGACTTGTACATAAGCTAAGCCGCTTAGGAAATTTATAAGTGAACTTGATCACCATTTATAAAAAAGTAGAGAATACAATTTAAAAGTTGTTTGAGATAATCAAGTTTAGTGTAATCAAGTTTAGTGTATCATACTGTATAAGTAGGAAAATAATAGGAAAAAAGATATTCTTCCCTAACATTGACAAAGAAGAAAATGATACTTTAATGCCCAGATCGTGCAATAAACCTTTTCTGCATACCTTTGTCTTTGCTACAATGATAATGCTTTAACATTTGAATGGATAAAAACAATGTCACATTTCTATTTGATGATAGAAAATACAGACCATGAGACCACGAGAAACGTGCGATGAATTGTACGTTTTTTATATATATATGTATATATAAATATATATATATATATATTCGAGAGAAGAAAAAACATACGCGATATGGAAATTAGAATGCGAGAGAAATGATAACAAAAAAATATAATCGTCAGTGAGAAATTTTAGTGTCCTTGTCGAGTAATCGTAAGAAAGTAGTTGTTATCTTTTTTTATGTCATACCGGATGACCGAATCTCACCTTCGTGCCTCTGGCGCTTATGTTTTTTGTGCTTCTTTGAACCCATGATTAACACTTTTGGCTACTGGCTTGTTCTAAAATCGATTATTATCACGATAAATAAAGTTTTTTTATTGAATTGCGTTAAAAAAGAATACACAACTCACGAACTCGGTCGCAATTTTCCACTAACGTTAACTACGACCATTCGTACGTCATGCATCAACTTTAAGAACCGTTATGCCCATAACCATAATTATGCACAGGTAAACTAGGGTTTTATTTTTCATTGGTTAGCGCAAATGCATAGCGCCACCATCGTACGAAATCGCGCGCTATTCGAATCTCCAGAAATTCTTTCGAACAATGAACCGAAACAAAAGACGTTTTATTTGTACTTTGTTTTTTTGTTTTTTAAATATTATAAATAAATAATAATTAAATATATTATTATTAAAATTAAACAAATTTGCGAAAAGAATTGACGCTACTATTGCGTTTAGCATTTATTTTTTGTACGAGACAATTTGAAAATTTGTTAACACATATATTTTCAAATGCAATCGACAAATATGAAATTTTTTATTATTATAAAATAGATAATAAATAAATCTGATTTTCTTTGACAATCTTTTCGTACGATTAGCAGGACAAGACGTAACTTGCTTTATTTGTTGTTTAACAAACTGTAAAAATTAATTTTATATTTTGCACGATTAAAGATACTTTTATACGCATCAATTAACATCCATCAATAATGAATTAATTAGGAGTCCACCTAAACTCGAGAGATACGCCCTAACCTAGAAAAAATACTCCAAAGCGTTGGAAATTTAAATGGTAAGCAGTGAAATCGAAAAGAGTAGACGTAAATTCGCTTAAACGCATTGAGATTATCTACAAAGATGTTAATCGTTAAATTTGGAAACAATGGAAAGTTACAATCGGCAAAAATAAAAATATTATATTCTTACCTGTAATGAGAAGAGAAGCCGCTATCGACGAGACGATTAAAAAAGCGAAAGTGATCAGCTGTTTCGGTTAAATGCACGAAAAGTAAGAAAGAGGAAGAAATATGTGATCATGTATGTAATAATAGTTTACGAAACAATGCATTCACTTTTATTAAGAAATGTCTGTCTAGTGCAATCGAGTAGAATCCAGCGAAATCGAGTTGTCTTTACGGCAAATCGTTGCACGTGTCACTTTGTAGGTCTAAATATAATATCGTGGAAAATTGCACAAACATATACGTTCGCCTTCAATGTCATTATATTTTCTATTTTATTTTTGTTCCTCGGTTTCCTCCAACGAATCATTTTCTTCTCGAATTCTTACTCCTCCTTTTTCTTTTCTTTTTTTTTTTTTTTGCTTTCAATAATAATCACACATTTATTTTTACGATATTCGATCCAATTGCAACAAAGTGCATACCTTTGTTGACGTAGGCATGCAACGAGACGTCGTGCCCAGTTTTTATTGACAGTTGAAATATCTCGTGAAAAAGCGACGTTTCAAATTTATCGTCAAAGTTTATATCTTATACGTTTACTCCGTCGATAAATTTAATTGATAAATTAGCGATAGAAATTACGATTATTGATTAAAGTATTACGTGTCTCTAATAGAAGGACGATAATTATTTAAACAAGAATTAAATTGCAGTAATATACATTAAAATCTATAAGAAAAATACCTAACTTTCCGCATCCTGCTGCCACCTAGATCGAATAACGAATGACCGACGGAGGAACTTGAGTGTAATTAATTTCATTGACAAAAACATATATTTCAATCAGATAAATCAAATAAATTCGTATTATCTTATAAAAGCATCGTGACGTTATCTCAATGCAACGATCAACGATAAATCTTTAATAAAACGATGCATTCGAATAAATCGCATTACCTTCTCCAAAGCTCCTTGATACATTCTCGAATGAAAACACCGCGCTTTAAAAAAAATGAAATATACAAGAAAGATGCCGGCAATGCATACGGCACGTGTATGCTTCTCCCCACTATTTCAAAACTGACGAATCACCGAACCGGAAAGTATCCCACTTCAAAGTATTAAAATACATTCATGTATGCATTAGAGCGTATTCGGACATGTTCGGAATCGTTCGACGAACTTCGGGCGGGCTCGTCTGCTGGGAGGAAAGCACGAGCGCGTCGCGTGTTGTCTGCTCGGTGCAGCGTCCAATGCAACGGAAAGAGAAAAATAAACAAACTAGAAAACGAGAGAAAGAAAGAAAGAAAGAAAGAAAGAGAGTGAGAGTGAGCGCAGCGTTAAACGCATCGTCGTCGTTGTCGTCGTTGTGTTGTGTTGCAGCGCATAGTCTCGACTCACCCCTCCTAGTAACTTTCCCCTTCTATCCCTCCCACCTTTTGACTCGTTGCCGGCGTTGAGAATCCACCTCTCCGCGCCCTTCGAACGCGCATACGAACTTTACCGTAGGACGCGACGGAAAACGTTCTATATCGCCATTCCTCCCCTCCTCCCCAACACCCCACCTCACCACTAAAGGTCCGGCGGGAGTTAACGAACGGCGTGCGTTTAGCACGCGCTTCCAGCTAGACTTCGTTAGTACGAGAAAAGAGGCCCGACTCTTTGCGTGTATCATCGTATACGAGACTCGTCGTCGTCGTCGTCGTCGTCGTTGTTGTTGTCATCGTCGTCGTTGTTTCCTCTCCTAGTTCCATCGTTCATTCGTTCGTTCGTAATCATTCGTAATCGTTCGTTCTTAATCGCGAAAAGAAAAAAAAAAGAAACGAAGAAATTACGAAGCAGTAATATTATTATTGTTAGTAGTTGATTACGGTATGGCTAGAAGAATAGGACAAAGATAGAAAATCGAAAGAAGAAATTGTCGTCCCCGTCTCTTTTTTATATTTCTCCGTCTTTGTTCGGTTTGATTTTATTTTCTCTCTTCCTCGGAAGGTAGAGAGAGAGAGAGAGAAAGAGAAAGACAGACAGATAGATAGATAGAGAGAGAAAGAAAGAGAACATAGAGAGAATAATAGAACGTTAGTAGTCGGTCGAAGGCGAGAATCGATCTACTGTGCGATTAGGCGAATCGGCGAATGGAGAACTCCTTTGTCGTTTATCGTCGTAGAGGAGGAAAGTGTTGCGGCCGTCTCGTCACCGCTCGATATCGAGAGAAAAACGGAGAGTATATTTCCTGTTGGTAGGATAGAGAAAGAAGAATAAGAAGATTTGAAAGGGTAGATAAAGAGACAAAAGGGGAAAGATATATAATCGACACTATCATTGATTTAAATCGAGACAGTTTCGTCTGTTTTTAAACCAATATTCCTATCACCACCATTGCCAACATTACCACCACCACACCCCAGCACAATACTACTACTACTACACTATTAAACTGCTACTAGTATTTCTTACAAGAGTAACAACACGAAGGGGTGGGTAGGGACAAGGGAAGAATGGAACGCTTCAGAGTAACACCGGCAAATAACACAACGCAGTATATTCAACCCTTGCAAAGATCTTCTATTCACGAATATGGTAAGTTTTAGTTTATCACTGAAAAGAGAAAGAGAGAGAGAGAGAGAGAAAGACTTACTAGAAACGCGTGCTAGTTGACCACGTGCTTGTGTCTAACTTCAAACTTTATCAAAGATTCGTTTAATTCGCAATCTCGTCAAACTATGTATGCACCGATTTTCCCTCTCTCTCTCTTTTTTTTCATTCTCTTTCTCTATGTCTCGTCGAGTCAGTGACGTTTTTTCCAGGGCTTTGACCTAACACACTTCGACGCCTGATTTTCTTATGTGTCTGGCCTATGTCGCCAAAGACGGATCGATTATTCCATCGTCGAAAGCGAAATCAACTGGAATTCTTTCTATGTGCATGTGCACATGTGCATGTCTACCTACTACACGTGTAACTTGTGTCTGTATGTATATGTAAATACAATGCCTTTATTGTAAAACTCGGAACGCGATTATTACATTGAATTTATTTTCATATTGTAATAACATTGAAAATCAATTCTTTTCTTTTTTTTGCATTATTTTATAATTCGTATACGCATCGAATGCAAATTTTGTACATTCGATTAAATTCGAATTTTGATTATCTTTTAACAATGATGTATCGAAAAAAAAAAAAAGAAATGGAGTACCATTTCATATTGAAAAGTAGAAATAATTGGAATGATGACAAGAATGAAACTCGAGTTGTCTATCAATATTGATTTTTAATTTCTCTAACACGATTTTGTTTCAAAATGAAAATTATCGTTTTAAAATGAAGGCATTGTACGCTTACGTTACATGTGTTAAACGATTATTATTCAAGAGTTTCCATGACACGACGTCATTTCCATATTGCAATCTCATCGTTTTGTTATCGGTGGATGGTCGAGTACGCGTTGCCTGTCAGCTTTGATTGTTTTTAGAGATAATATCTTTTTTTTTCTTTTTTTTTTTATCGAGGATATCAAAGGGCTGAAAACTGACGACTAATTATTGATCCGTATTCTCTTTTAATCCTAACTAATCGCAATTTATTTCTTTTTTTTTCTTTCTGATTATTATACCGATCAAAGTATACGAGTATGGGTTGAAAAGTTTCGAATCTCAATTAGAAATGAGACACATGTATTTTTATTTTTAAATACTAGTTATAATTAAATTTCATATATTTTAATAATAGCCAGACACAGAATTTGAGCATTTAGATTTACGTTGATTGATTGTTTCTTATCAAATTGACCGTGCCAGGCAAGCCACACCCATACACACCTATATATATATATATATATATATATATATATATATATATAT